AGATGGGGGTCGGGGTGCAGGCTCTGGGCAGTGCTTACCTCAGGCAGCTCCTGGAAGCAGCAGCATGTCCTCCCTCCAGCTCCTACACGGAGGTGCAGCCAAATGGCTCTGAGCACTGTCCCGTCTGCAAGCACCGCCCCCACAGCTCCCATTGCCCTCGGTTCTGGGCCAATGGGAGCTGCAGAGCTGGCGCTTCAGCAGGGCCAGTGTGTGGACCCCCTGGCTACCCTAATGCCTAGGAGCCGTAGGGGGGACATTCTGCTGCTTCCAGGAGCCGCACAACGCCATGCTTGCCTTAGCCGCACTGCACTGCCAACCAGACCTTTTAACAGCCCAGTCAGCAGTGCTGACTGGAGCCGCAAGGGTCCCTTTTCGACTGGGCGTTCCAGTCAAAAACCGAACGCCTGGCAACCTTACTTGTATGCCTCAGTGTGGCATGGTGTTCACCCCATGCAAGGCCTAGAAGGGTAAAGATGGTTAAAGGGGCCAATGAACTGCCCAGGCTGCACCCAGAGAAGACAGGAAACAGGGATTTAAGTAGAACAGGCTCAGCTGGGCAAGAACAGGTGGGGCCTCTATCAGCCAGGAAGCTGGCAAAAGAAGGTGCTGGAGGGAAGGAGTCTTCAGTCACTTCCTGGAAGAAGGGAGAGGTGTCTGGGGCTAGAGGCAAGTAGCCTACAGTTACTCCATGTGAGGAGGGAGTGTGGCTTGAGGGAGAGCCAGAGAGGTAGGTTAGGCTCAGGGGGACAGCAGCAAGGTGTGGGGGTAGGTTGACCTTGGTTGCTGATGAGAGGCCCCTGAGTCATGGCCTGGAGTAGAGGGTGGGCCTCTACCAGCCACTGATGAAGTGACACCAGCAGAGTGGTGAGCAGGAAAACTGCCTGAACCTATTTGTCAAGAGGGACTTTGTTACCCCACAAGGGGGGAACACGGATGGTGACCCAGCCAGAGGGCCAAGTCACGAAGAGAAGACTGCAGTTCCTGCAGTGAGTGGGGTCCACAGGGCAAGAGGATGACAGGAGACACTGCCAGGGGAGGATGCAACACCTGGCTGGAGCTATTCCCCAGAATGGCCACCAGCGGTGCGTAAACCTGTGATACACAGAGTCTGTGTGTCCATCCGAGACTTGGTGAATCCTTGAGGATCTTCCTAGGATCTCAATGTTGAATGTGGACAGACTTGAACAGTACCTGATGCTCTCAGAATTGACTTCTGCCGTTTTGGCTTTGCTCCAGAGCAGGCACCTGCTACTGATGGGTTGCCTATGGAGTTTTATAAGAGCTTTCAGACCCTTCTTGGACCTGAGTTGTTCCAGGAGAGCATCAGAGAGAAGATATTGCCAGTCAGTTGTCATCGAGCAGTTCTTACCCTGTTGCCTAAGAAGGGGGACCTTGGGAAGGTGAAGAATTGGAGACTTGTGTCCCTGCTTTACTCCGACTATAAACTTTTTCAAAGGTCTCGGCAAAGACTGAAAACTGTGAATGGTTTACTCATGCACCCTGATCAGATCAACTGCATCCCCAACAGGTCCATTTTTATAAGCTTTATAAGCTTTTCTTATTGCGAGATATATATATATATAATATATTACTGGGTATGCGCTATCCAGTCTCTGTTATGCATATTGCAAAAGCACCTTTCCGGCCTTTCTCTCCTTTTTTCATCTTGTATTCCAGTGAAAGTCTTTATGCTGACTATGTGACTGTGTGTTTATTACTCATGATTGTGATGTCCAGGTTTTGACTGAATGTCAGCACTCTCTTAGGAACACTTCTTCAGCTTGCATAAACTGGGGGAAGAGTGACACACTCTAGCTGGGGGCTTGGGTGATCTTCCGCCTCCCCCCCCGACTTTGCCAGAGAGGTGGAGCTGAGGCTTGAAGCACTAGGAATTATGCTAGGACCGATATTTGGGGTTGGAATTGGGAAGGAGTCATGAAAAAGTTAGAGGAGGTTACAAAGGTGGAAATGGTGTTTGCCTTGACTCTCCTTTTGAGAGCAGGTGCTAGAGAGCATTAATAATTTAATTGCCTCTTTTTAGAAAAAGTTCAGAAGTTTCTTTTGGGCTTTTTCTGGGAAAGCATCATTGAGGCAGGGTATTTTATTTCTGTTGTAGAAGGTCTCCTTGATCTTTTGAGCAGAGTTGCTACTTTTTGGTTACAGTCTCTGCAGCCATTATTTGGAGATGAGCCTTTTCCTTGGAAACAAAAGGCCTTTGCTTTACTTCAGCAGATAGGGGTTGGGTTTTGATCAGGAACTTTTTTTGATGGCCCGTGGCTGCCTCAATTTTGAGATGTTACCCAGTTGGAGATTTTTTTTTAAGCTGAGGTCACAGGATAGGCAGCTGGAGTTCCCCGGGCTCCCTTGTTTATAACCCTGCCATGAGGATTCCTAGTCTTGTTTCTAGGAGTCTTGTCTCCTCCCTTATTGCAGCAGGTGTAACAAAACAGGTTCATTTAATTGATTTTACTCCTTTGACATGGGCCTCAGTGCATATCCTGGCTGTCAAACTTGGTTTTCATTCCATTCGCTGCTGGGTTTCTTGGTTTATATCAGAGGTGGAATCAGCCCTTCCACGGGGCAGTATTGCCAGTCTGGACAGTTGCCTCCTTGACGAACTATTCCTAATGTTTCTATTTTCTTGCCTGTTGCTCCTTCAATGGATTGGGATGTTAACAAACCTGGCAGTTTGGTTGCCTTCAGTGGGTCTTCTGAATTTACTTTTAATAGCTTAGGCCATAAATCATTGCATATACTTGTGGTAAAGATTCCGCATTTTCAAACACCTGTTGATTAACAGATATGGTGTGGAGAAGAGAGCTTCTGGTGGCAGTTTTTCCAGTCTTGGGGCAGAAGTGGGAGGTGTGTGGAGGGGGGGGGGAGTGAAGGGGGAGGGCCTGGGGGGAAGAGGTGGAGTAGGGGCAGAATGGGGGCAGGGTCACAAGTGAAAGGGGAGGAATGGGGGAGGGGCTCCAGACTTGAAGCTCTGACCAGGGCCAAGAGCACCACTGCAGTCCCAGCCCCTCACCACGGGGAGGTGAGAGCTGTGAGCTGGGGCAGGGCCTCTGCCAGAAGAAGCAGGGCAGGGAGTTAGCCTCCCCGAGGGGAAGCTTCACCCACCACCTATGACTAGGCCATAGCTCAGCACTTGGACCACACTCATGGGAGACCCCTGTTCAAATCCTCTCTCCCTCTAGCAGAAGAGGGAATTGAACCTGGTTTTCCCACATTCCAGGTGACTGAGTTGGCTAAAAGTTATAAGCTCAGCTCCTCCTCCAGCCATTTTGCAGGGTGCAAGGTAGGCACCTAACTCATTTCTGCAAGAAACAGCTTGGGTGCCTAAGACACCTGACTCCAGGCAGCGGGTTCTTCTTGTTCGTGGATCACTAAGCAGGGACAGGCACAACCCCTGCAGCCCAGATTTAGGCATCTATCCTTGAGAGAGGGGCAGGACTTACGACACAACCCTCTCATCAGCATCTCCTATTGGCTTGCTCCCCACCTAGCGTGCTGGCTTTTGTGGATCACATTCTAGGCACCTGCCTCTCCCCATTCATTGCAGAGGGAGCCCAAGGGCCTAACTCATGCTTTGTGGATTGCAGTTTTGTTCCTGGGATTTTCTAAGCGCCTCAAAATTAGGTGCCACGACACTCAGCATTGTGACACCTAACTCCCTGTGTGGATCCCACCCACCCGTCCGACTTTTATACCATAGAAACACATGGCATACATGTCAAGACAATCAAAAGCGTGGATATCACAGTCGCTAATTTCTCTGGCTGCTTCTCCCACCCTATAATCATCTCTCTTTCCACTGGTTCTCAGCCAGCTAGCTTTCACCCATGCCTCAATCTCTGTTAGATACTGAGTAAGCAATCCTACTGCACAAGCAGGATTAGAACTTGAAGAGAGAGAAATATGGAGCTAGGCATCATCAGTATATTGAGGCATCATAACTCATACTTCCTTACTAATGGCCACGTCTGCAGTTTGTGTAAAGTGGTGACAAAATGGAATCTCACAGAAGTCCACAAGACAGCCCTCTGAGCAGCTGTCTAATGCAACCTCTGAGATCAAACAAAAAGAAAGGGAAAGCACCACTCTAAAGTGGGCCCATTTATGCATGTAGCTGCATCAATAAAACCTGTGTCAGTCCCTGTACACCACTTCAAATGCCTACAGGTGAATCAGTAAATACTCCACAGTCAATGGTATCAAAGGTAGCTACAGATCTAAAAGAAACAACAGGGATACTTGATCTTCCTCCATCACCAAGAGATCATTAACCAAGACCACCAGTTCAGTATCTGTACTATACCCAGGCCTAAGACCAAACTGAGCAATATAATCACCCCCTTCTCCTCTTTCTCACTGGGGGTTACCTACAGCGTGGGGCACCCGCTGCCCCAGCACTGGCTTGTGGCTGGCTGTCCCCGCCCCCATGGGGGCTGCACTCCCACACGCAAGGCCAGGGCCGGCTGCAGAACCCAGAGAGAGCACGCGCAACCCCAGGCACGGAGAACAAGGGGCGGAGGGGGCCGACTTAGAGGGAAGAGAATCGTGCGCATGCGCGGTTAACTCGGCGTTGAGTGAACGAGCTGCGTGGAAGAGCCCATTATGTATTGAAGGGTGTACGCAGTTAAAGTAGTTTTTTCCCCGTTCTTTCCCCCAGGACTCTGCCAGGAAGTTGCGCCTCATTTTGGTAAGTACTGCTAGTCCGCATCTTTCTGGCCGTCGCGTTTTTCCCTAACCCTCGCTATAGAATAATTCCGCCTAGATAGTACAGGCCGTCGTGATCTGTCCAATCAAAAAGAGGGTCCTGTAAATGTTATTAGTTGCTAGGTAGAAACAGCTTGCGCGCACGCGCACACACCAAGAACTGCAGCGGTAATGACTTCATCGCCTGCCTCAGGCCGCTTTTCCCTCGCAATGAGCGGGGCATTTCTTCTGATTGGCAGACTCGTACCCAAAGACAAGTATATTCCTGAACCAGTGGCCTCAGGGTACCGGGGTCTCCACGTCCCAAAAGCTGGAGCCCAATGAAAGGGAGTCAATAGCGGCCCGAGAGGCCGGTGGATGGACAGCGCCGCCAGCCAATCGCGTGTCACAGAAGGGGGCGGCCCCCCAAGGAAGGCGGTGGCTGGGCGAGGGCGGAGCGTTGCTAGGGAAGCGCTGGTGGGGAGGGGGAGGGCCCGGGCGGCGGGGCCTGCGGCGCTGGCCGAGTTCGTATAGCTGGTGGGGCCCGCGCTTCCCCCTGCACCCCACTCTCCTCGGAGCCCGCCCTCCTCCCCCTTCTGCACCCCCCCAGGGACCTGCCTCCCACATCTCAACCCCCGGCCTCCTTCTCTGCACCCCACTCCCCTCCCTGCATCCCCTAGGGACCTGCCGCCCTCCCCCTCTCAGCACCCCCCAGGTACCTGCCTCCCCTTCTGCACCCCACTCTCCTCGGAGCCCACCCTCCTTCTCTGCACCCCCCAGGGACCTGCCTTCCCCCACTCCACCCCCTCCTTCGGCACACACACACCAAGACCTGCCCTTCCTCTCTGCACCCCCCCTTGCCCCATTGGGACCCGCTGCCGTGGTCCCGCCTGCTGATTCGCCCCTGCTCAGCCCTTCAGTGATTGTTTAAGGCTCTTTTCCCCACAGGCTCCAGCACCCTCCCCTGAGGCAGCCATCATCACCATAACCCCCCGGGAACGGTCCCCGGTCCCCCTCGTGGCAGCACGGAGCATGGTGAAACTAGCTGCAAAGTGCATCCTGACAGGTGAGCTTGTCATCTGGAGTCCAGTGCTTAATTTGTGCCAGGACTGGGGTCAGCCTTCATACCAATTGTACATCAGTTATAAATGTAAAATAATTGCTTGACCCCCAGCACCTCTTTCATCACAAATTAAGCATTGCTGGAGTCCATCTGGGGTTTGCTGTTCCACCTGACCCAAAATAATGCGTCAGCTGAGGGGTTGAATAATGGCCAAAATGGTCCAATGTTTTAAAACACTGATTTATGAGAATGATAATGAAAGACAGCAAGACTCTGCGATCTCCAGGAGCCCTAGATACTTAGACCTACTTGAAAAAAACAAGTTACTCAGCTGAATTATCTTGACTCCAAACAATGCAATAAATAATTGCCCCAGTAGTCAAATGAAAAAGCTAGACCACCACCTGCAGCAGGGCATTCTTGCTCAAATAGTTGACAGTGGCCAAATACTAGGCAATCAGCTGACTAGTGAATTGATGTTATTTGACCAGTCAATTGACCAGCTTGCCAAGCCTACACCGATCTCTCACCATGTTGTTATTGTTAGCTGTTATTTGTGTTATGGTAGCAGCCCAAATGTCCATTAGGCGAGATAAGGACTGCATTGCACTAGGTGTTGTGCATGCAAATAGAGACAGTCCGTGCCCCAAACAACTTGCTGTCTAAATAGACAAGGCAATAGACAAGACATAAGGTGGAATGGGGCACAGAGAGGGGAAGTGATTTGCCCAAGGTCACATGGCAGATCACTAGTAGAGCAGTGAACAGAGCCCAGATTTCCTGACTCCCTGTGCAGTGCCCTGTCCACTAGATCAGAGTGCCTCAACAACACTGCTTCATTTTGTACAGCAGCCTTCATATCAATTGTACTTCAGTTAGACTGTTGTTAAATACAATTGCATAAAAAGCAGAAAGTAACAAACTAAGAGGTACAGATGAGGAAAAGGATGTTTTCAGATGAGATATTTAATATGATGGAGAGCCACTGAAAAAGAAAGATGCAGGATGAAAGAGAAAGTTCTCTTCACAACAATGGAAAGATGATGTGACAGGAAGGTCAAGAGAAGCAGAGTGGGGAGCCAAGACCAGCTTCATGAAATAAGCTGGAGCATTTCTATTAGTGCTGAAGGAAAAAAATATGTCAGGAATAAGGATGATTACAAACAAGAAAAAAAATTATGGTGTTAGTCTAGTTGCAAATAAAAGAAAGGCAGATGTGTCCAAGGAGGTTGCTCTTGCTCAAGAGAAGCACAAGTTGATCTGAAAGAAGCTGAGGTAAAGCTGCAAGTTTGTTTGACCATGACAGACTGTTGAGAAGTATGTACAGTTGAATGCTATCAAGCATAATAGAAGCAAGACATCTTATGTAGAGATAAGAAAGGCATAGGTGTAGTTTCACTTCTATTTTAGCGGGGGGCAGCTCCAGCCAGGCCAACAAGGCTGTGCAGAGGGGGCAAATTCCATGCCTGCTGAGGCTTGCAGGTTGAGGGGGGCAACACCCCCCATGTTTCCCCAATTTATGCCCATGATGAAAGGGGCTAGGTAAAAGGAAAGATTCTCACTTCCCTCTGGCTTCAGGAACCTCCAAAGCGGGCGGATCTTAACACAGAAGAGGAGCCACTACAGATTAAAGGGGGAAAGAGAACACAATTAGGTAGGAGCATAAACATCAGAGGAGGGAACAAAAAACTCACATGTACCTACTCATCTGGAGGAGAGAGTGGCTCACATGGCTGAGAGTTGCACTGAGGTCAAGGAGAATGAGAAGAGAAAAAGAGTGTTCATTAGCAGAAAGAAAGAGATGGTTAACTATATGATGGACATCATATAGTTATTCCTTTGTTATTTCCAGGGAAGATTTACGGTCAAGAATATTGTTGTGTAAGCTAATTGCAGAGAAAAGGGGAAGGTTAAGGCTAGGGCAGTAGTTAGACAGGGTGAAGGGAGTGTATTTAAAGAAGGTGGTAAACAGTATTTTGATTTTTTTTTTAGAAGAATGGGGAAGGTATTGGAGGCCAAAGGAATTAGTAACATTAGGAATAGCACAGGGAGCAATGGTGGAAAGATAGGACCAAACTAAAGGAAAAAGGCAGGCAATGTTAAATTACTGTAATAAAGTATAATGATGGATTGGAGTGCAGCGAAAGAATGGAGCAAGGGAAGAGAAGAATGTCACTAATGGGGCATGCAGTGTTGTTGTTGGTCTCAGGATATTAGCGAGACAAGATGGGTGAGGTAATATCTTGTTGGTCCAGCTTCTGTTCCTTTTGTACCCTCTCAAAACAATTTATTTTCCCAACCCTGCTGCTAAACTATCCAATAATCCTGTTTCAATACATGAAATAGAATTAGTACTCAAAGGGCAGAGCAACAAATCAATGTACATAGTTTACTTTTCCAGTTACATTAAATTCAGGCTTAATTTTTTCCTAAGAACTGTGTCAGCTGAGCCCAGGGTGAGAGAGACAAGCTTTGGAGCATATACAGAGCTTTTCTTCAGGTCCTGAAGAAGACTTCTGTGCAAGCTTGAAAACTTGTCTCTCACCATCAGAAGCTGGTACAATAAAAGCTATTATCTCACCTACCTTGTCTCACTAATGGGGCAATCAAGCTGAAAGAAGACACCAAATTAGATAAGAATTTGCACTGAGAGGTGGAAACAAAATAATTTTCTGCAGTTTGGGACAGGGTGTAAAGAAGCATCATGTCATGAAACAAGGAGGTAAAAATGGCAACACCCATTTTTTCATGTTCTCTCTGTATATATATCTTCCTACTGTATTTTCCACTGCATACATCCGATGAAGTGGGTTTCAGCCCACGAAAGCTTATGCCCAAATACATTTGTTAGTCTCTGGGGTGCCACAAGTACTCCTCTTCTTTTTTTTTTTTTTTTTTTTTTTTCTGATACAGACTAACATGGCTATCACTCTGAAAGGAGGTAATGGTCTATTAAACTATGCATTAGCCTCCCCAGGGAAACAATAGACTGGTCAAAGCACTAGAGAACATACTGTAGGGAACAATCCTGAACTGGTCAAGGATGAGCTAGATCAGCGGTTCCCAAACTTTATTGTTTCATGTACTGCCTTCTTAAGAAGTTGTGAAGTGAACTCCATGAGCTAACAGGGCATTTCCATCTTAATTTGTGGGCCCAATTCAGCCCTATTATAAGCAGATACCGCTATCTATATAATAGGATTTCAAGATTGTGACTCTGAAGCCTAGAATGTCTGCTGAGTCAGTGTGAAGCAAAGGAAACAGCTACAAGCATGGCTGAGAGCTCTTGTTCAGGATATCACCAGGTTCAGTCAGTACTGGTCCCTGTGAGAACCAGGTGAAAAGTTGGAGTCCAAAGGTTCTGTGGCAGTCCGAATGTGACAGCTAATCAGAGAAGGTGGGAATAACAACTACTTGGGGTAACAAGGAGGTGGAGCAGGTGTGAGCGCAAACTTTGGGAACATGTACAAATAGCACCCTTGCTCATTGCAACACAGCTCATGAAACAAGAGCTCCATTTTCAGCTTTTTTACACACATGACTACGAAGTATACCCATGCAATAGCATAGGCTTTCAGCTACTAGTATGAAATATATTTACTGTAGGCCTAAATTTGGCCTATGAGTCTGAGCAAGAGTCACTACCCAGAATACTCTTCGTGCTCCAGACATATGTGTACCTTTCCCACTCTGCCTCAAAACACAGTGTGTACACACTATGGTAAGGTCAAAATTTACCCCCTTCCTGGGTTCAGCTTTATTAACAAAGTAACTCAACACACAATATTAATTCCAGGCTTGGTTGCTTCCTAGAATCCCTCCTTATGAGCTGTTCAGCCTAGACCTCTAGACCCTTTGCGCTGGGTAGGCCAGCACAAAGGAGGTAGAAAGTATGAGTATATCCTGTGGGAACACCAGGATAGCTCTTTGCCAGCTTCACAGGAGATCCTGTTGTAGAGTGTATTCCAGGGAGTATACTGTGCAGTCTTAAGATCCAGCAATTCAGTGCCACTGCTATGGCCCATAGGGACTGTTGCAGCAGGAGCCTAAATTAGGGCAGCCCAGGGGGATAACCTACACTCGGGGGCCAAACCAGCACCTGGTATTCCCAAAATAGGGGCAGCACAAGCCATCTCCCTACTGTCCCTGCACCCGGCTTTTATGGGTATGAATCAGGATTTCACTCGAGAGAGTGACACTCACTTCACTTATGTCCAGGATGGAGCTAACAAGCCACCTGCAGCAGGAGTTGCTTAGCATCTCCCAGCAGGGGCAACACCTGCTAAGTGGGGGAGGGTTCATAGGAGAACACTACCACCCTCTTGCAATTCTCCAGTAGCATGAATGACCTGATCGTCCCACAAACACATTTGGATTTTGGGAGATTTGTAATGTTAAGAGAGGAAGGTCTATCCAGACCCTTCTCCTCTCCTATTCCACAGTTTTTGTCTTCACATTGAGATATGCCTGAGTAGTTTTGGGAATCTTTAATTGTCCCAGGCTAGAAAGGATACAGGGCTGACCCGTGAATTTCAGAACAAATGGCAAGTCTGCCTTTATGTTTATGGGCCTCTCAGCCATGGATATTGCAGACACCTAAAGCCAGCTCTGCACATGCAATAGCAACTCTCGTTTCACAACTTAGACAATTGTCCTATTGATTTTTCTGGCTTTCTTGCCTGTTGTGACTGGAATGGGTAAAATTGCAAATGCAGGTAACAAAAAGCTCTTTTGAAGATTTGGTGGGAATGGGATTGAGGGGGAGGGGAAATGAGATTGTCCATCCAAGACTAAACAAAGTGCTTTGGCCATGCAGGTGACTCAGCAGTAGGGAAGAGTGCTTTGTCCCAGATGTTCTGCAATGATGGAGCTCATTTCCAGAAAAACTACACACTGGTAAGCTTTGTGGGATGATACACACAGGACAGGGATTGAGGGAGGACACCAGGCTCAATCTGCCATCGGGTGACTTCTCTAAAGCTCCATGAGTGAAGAATGGGAAACTCCAGGCAGAATGAATTATTGAGGGCTGGTTTTAGCTATTGACAGGCCTTTACACTGATGCATTAAAGGGGGTGTCTAGTAGAGTTTTCTTTCAAAATACTTAGACACCAGGCTGTAAAGAGAAGCTGACTAGCATCATAGTAGATTTCCATATACCTAGGGAGTTGGCTTCAAAGTTTAACACACAGTAAACTAATTGCAGTAGTTTCCTTCTGTATCAGAATCTTCACAAGCTAGTGTGGTCTTAGACAATTTCCCATTTTAAGGGAGCTCCAAGGGAAAATGGTTTGCTGCAGGAGGAAGCTGCTTACTCCAAGTAGAATACCTGAGTGTGGAATGTATGCTCTTCACTATACAAACACGAAAATATGTGCCATGGCCCCAAGCTATTGAAATCTAAAGAAATCATTCCGAGAGGAAGAGAGTGCAGTTTTCAGCCCTTCTATATACAAAACATTAATGGTGATAGGTGTATAGAAGCAGGATGAAAAATAAGTCCTGTCCTATGTATTATACATTGAAATAAAGACCAAAAGGAAAACTGGATAATAGAAATAGAAGAGGCAAAAAGGAAAAGAGGCTGGGGGAGGGGCAGAGAAAGTGGAACAGGCATAAAAAGAGGACCCCCTAATCCTATGTGCCAGGTACAGCAAAGCACCTGTGAAGGATCACATGGTCAGTGCAGAGGATTCAGAGGGATGTTTTGGAGCAACCAAGCAGAGAGAAACCAGTGAGTCTTGACCCAGCTCTAGATCTGAAGTTGTCAACCAATATCCTGATATATGAGTAAATCTCCAGAGGCTGGTTCTTTTCCATCGCGTTTCCCCATGTGAGCAAGTCTCTAGGGGTTGACAGTAAGATTGTAAGAAAGTTTAGAGAGAAGTCCTGAAGAAGAGCTCTGTATAAGCTCAAAAGCTTGTTTGTCTCACCAAAATAGAAGATATTACCTCACCCACCCTGTCTGTCTAATATCCTAGCACCAACATAGCTAGAAAAATACTGCCTGCAACATGTAAGAAAGTTTGTCATTAGGACTTTAGGAAGTGTTATTGTGAAGTTGGTTCTCCACGGTCTTAGTTTGATGGTATTCTGGTGATCTAAGGTGATTGCTGCACCCTAGAGCATAGTGTGTAAGTGGACAGTCCTCTACAATCCCTGCTGATCAATGTTTTCCTGGTTCTGCTTGACAGACGACAGGCGTGGAACTGTTGGTGAAGACTGTATCTGTTCCAGAGACAAGTAATAGTGTGGTGAGCCCTGCTGTGTCACAAATAGGGACAGAAGGAGATCTTCAGAGCACAAAGTCCATCTATTACGTGGATGTCTGACATGTCTTATTCTCTTGGATGGACTCACCAGAGCTTTACTTGGATATTTAAGTTGGAAACCTGATACACTGATCATGCGCTAAGATAATACAAATAATAAATTAAAATAATTAAGCACACTAGCTGATTTTTTTTCAGTGATAACTTATTTTTAAAACATACATGTTTACATATTCAGCAGCAACATGACTTCTTAAATTGAAGCTCTCACCAATCCACTTAGGGCCCTGCACTGCCATGTAGGATACCCAGGTATAATTCCAATTCCCCAAAACAGTGGAGACTGGGCCCTATCCAGACTGCTGTGTGTTAATGTTCTGCACTACCATTAAGATATAGGTATATTCAGGTTAGCATCCCAGTCTCTTGTTCCACAGATCTAGTTGGAGGTCGGAATGGAGACCGGGCCTGGTGCACTGCAGGGAAGACCTTTTCACTGTTTATGCAGGAAATCCAACTACTGCTTTGCACTTGCTCTCTGGGGTAGGTGCACTGTGGAGGTTTTGAGCTTAGCCACTGGGGCATCAGGCTACTTTGCTGTGGTTGAACAAGAAGCAAGTGTGACAGCTTCTAGTGTACACCTCCCAAACCCTTCCCCAAATAGAATCATAGAAATGTAGGACTGGGTGGGACCTCAAGAGGTCATCAAGTTCAGTCCCCTGTGCTGTGGCAGGACCATGTTAATCTAGACCATCCCTGACAGGCGTTTGTCCAGCCTGTTCTTAAAAACCTCCAATGATGAGGATTCCACATCCTCCCTTGGAAACTTGTTCTATTTCTAACTACAAGGGTAGTTAAGCAAGTTTTTCCTAATATCTAACCTAAATCTCCCTTGCTGCAGATTAAGCCCATTGTTTCTTGTCCTACCTTCAGTGGACATGGAGAACAATTGATCACCGTCTGCTTTATAACAATCCTTAACATATTTGAAGCCTGTTATCAGGTCCCCGCTCAGTCTTCTTTTTTGAAGACTAAACATGCCCAGTTTCTTTAACCTTTCCTCATAGTCAGGTTTTCTAAACCTGTTATCTTTGTTGCTCTTCTCTGAACACAGTACTCCAGCTGAGGCCTCACCGTACCTAGTAGAATGGGACAGCTACCTCCTATGTCTTACGAACAGCACTCCTGTTAATACGCCCCGGAGTGATATTAGCCTTTTTTGCAACTGCATCACGCTGCTGGCTCATATTTTGTTTCTGATCCACTATAACCCCCAAATCCTTTTCATGATCTTCCATGCAAAAACCTTCTTTCTGCTTTCAGGAACTCTTCCTTTTTGACTCAGCGGGCAAAGAACTGTTTTCTGAGATGATAGAGAAACTGGCAAGTATCATGTAGTAGTCCTCTTGTTCCTAAAGAGGGGCTTTTGCTGTGAAAAGGATCTGAGCTACCCAGTCTGGGAGATGTAGCAAGCCTTGGCCTGAGTGGAAGTGGGAGAAATTCCTCTCGGTTACCTATGACCACTGTTCCTTTACATCTTGAAACTTGGAACAATACTGTAGGGAATCTGTTCCAAAGGAAAGGAGGTGGGATCCCAGAGGAAGCGCCTTTGGCTCTTAAAAAGAAATGGGAATACTAAACTGAGATAACTGTGTGGATGTTTTTGGTTTTTTATGGGCGTTTTTAGAGGAACTTCTAATTTGCCAATTCTAGTGTATCAGATTTTTGCCTTCAGCCTGATCTTTCTGTTCCACAGAGACTCTGCCTTCTGTTGGGACATAGAACTTCCCTTGACTTCTCACACTCCAGCAAGTGTGTCCCTGTCCCCACTTACATTAGGGACCTTTCAGTTGTATCATCTAATTTTGATGCATAGGGTCAGCTAATTGAGCATGAGGTTCCATTATATCAGACTCCTTTTATTTCTGTCCTGGAATGTGTTTCCCATACAGACACGTCTTCTCTGGGGATGTATTGGCAATTGGCCACATCAGTTAATTAGAGCTGACAATATCTCTCTCTTGATGTACAGTGGGAGCAGCCCAATGCCCTGTGTATTGTGTATGATGTCACCAATGAACAGTCTTTCAACAGCTGTGCCAAGTGGCTGGAGAAGCTGAGGGCACGGACACTTGGAATGCACCTTCCAGGTAGGAGATGGTGAGATTCTTTGCACCCATTCTCATGTTTTGTAGCAGCGTCTTTTCCCCATTGAGATGTGGCATAAAGCATTATCTTAAATCCAAGCCAGGCATGGCTTCCTCCAACTCACCCGGTCTATGAGTAGAACAGACCAGGGAAGAGCATATTCCAGGTGATTTCCTTGCCGTCCTCTCTAGCACCTTCTTTAAGTCTAGCAATCCAATTTTTTTCCTCCCCTGTTTTCTAACTCACCCACCAGGTTTTCTGGTATTTATTGCTAACAATTCAGCATTTCTGTTTTCTTTTCCTTTGTTTCACACTTTTTGTAGGTGTCTTAGTGGGGAATAAAACAGACCTGATTGGTCGACGAGTTGTGGAGCAGAAACGGGCACAGGAGTGGGCTGAGATCCATGGCCTGCAATACTGTGAGACATCAGTGGTGAGTGTCTTCTCTCTTCTCCATCTGTGGAAGTGGGTGTCTTCTCTTTTGGGGGCTCTGTTACAATCCTTTATCATTTAATCCACTCCCAGTATCAATGTGGGATTTTTTTATCAAGCAGTTAAGAGTAGAAATAGTTCAATGCTTCCTCCGTCCGTTTTTCACAACGTCGCTTCTCTCTTTACAGAAGGAGATGGAGAACATCGAAGCCCCTTTCCACATATTGGCAAACTCATTCCACCGTCTCTACAGAGAGAAGGTGGAAACCTTTCACTCACTAGTGTGAGGGCCTTGGGTATAGCAACTTGCTTAGCCCCTGTGGGGTTTCTTTTAGTCCGGAAACACCCTGATGCCTAGAATCCCACAGACTGGAAGATGGAGAGAAAGTGAGAGATGGGTTGTTGTTTTTTCCCCTTGTGACCATTTCCTGACCATTCAAATTAAACCAGAAATAAATATGGGGAAAGGCAGCATTTCTGAGGTTGAGACCTGGTGTTTCTTTCATGTCTCCTGACGTGGTTTTCTTCTCCATGAAAATCTGTTGGACAGTTGGGAGCTACAGAATGGAAATTGCCCCGTCTGTTTCCTACTAGAAACACGGATCAGATGATTGGGTGGGGTTTTGAGATGGGGAAGGAGTAGGGAGGCTAATGGGACATGTCTCACATTGGACAGCCCAGCACTGACATATATCTGAAGGGGGTAGGACTGAGGAGGGCCTTGCACCTGGAAAGCACATTCACTAGCAGGGCTGGAATAGACTTTGGGCTCAGAGTCTGTTGAGATGTGTCCAGCAATTGTGGCATGAAGTGTGACATCTGCAGGGATTCTTCTTGACTCAGGAATGGTTCTGAGATGTGCCTACAGATTGGGGCTTGGCTTACGTTCCCAGGTTCATCAGTTTGGAGCCCACTGCCCTGCTGATGTAGTTTGTGACCCTAATCTATGTTTCTGACTTCTCAGAGTCTAGTTCTTACTCTGACTTGGCTCATTTTCTCTCCCTCTTAGAAGCTGTCTGGCTGCCAGGAGCTTTTCCTCTGTACCTCTCATAACTTGGTAATGCAGTGCCCTCTGCTGGTCCCAGGTCACAGACGTGCCAAAGAAGATGCCACTGTGTTGTAGTGAGCAAGAATTGTGCTCCTATCTTCCTTTCCAACCTCCCAGATCAGAGCCATCCCTTGGGTAGGGCAAATCAGGGCAACCACTCCAGGCCCTGCACTTGGTGTGATTGGCTGGCACGGTCACTCCCGGAAGAGATGAATCCGTCACTTCCACCCTGGACCCCGCACCCCCCCTAGGGATGGCCCTTTATCCCGAGGAGGAGTACCCAGGATTTCAAATAGATAATTTCTCCTGCTCTCTCTCCCGCTCCCCCCAGGCTTGCCTTTGTTTTGTGTGTTTGGAATGTGGAGGGTGTTGCAAAGTAAATTCAGTAGCGTCACCTCCTTACTAGGTCCAGTTTTCCAGTCTCTTGGTCAAATGAGAACCTCATTTTGTTGTTCAATTTTACCATCCATTCTCACATTTCCTAGCTGATCACTTGGTTCTGGTATCACTAGTGCAAACAGGACACAGGAGGAGAAAGAGGCCGCCTGGCTCTAAACTATTGAGAGTCAGCAGAGCGACTTGTCCAGGTTGAGGTTTGGTGTTACGAATTATACCCGATAGGTCACGCACAGGAATTGCTGCGAATTATACCCGATAGGTCATGCACAGTTCGAGTCTAGGCTGAGGCACATGAACAAAGTCCACAACTGCAGAGTTCCCAAAGATACTAAGTTTATTACGCTCGAGTGTGGTGCCCCCGCTAATCAGGAGGGGACCCCGCATGCAGGTTATACACAGATTATATACCTTTTAGCAAAGCATGTTGCCCTTGTGCATCAGAAACCTTAGCCAATAGACAAACCCTTGCCTTATCTACCACCTATCGCTGCTAGATACATTCCCCGTGCTAGACCATTACTTCAACTACATTACATGGTCCTAAAGCAATGCATCAGTAGCCTTTCTTATCAGGATGGGAGGCTCACATCAAGGCCAGGAGGCAGGGAGTTAGGAACAGACAAAGAACAGAAACCAGGAGTCGAGACAGGCTGGAAACAAGGGGGAGGGTTTTCACAGGAATGCAGTATCTAAGGAACACTCCTCTTGGTGCATGATGTGCTTGCTTTTAGACAGTGGTGGGCCCCAAACCAAAATGGAGTCACATATGCTAACTTTTCCTTAACTTTGGTGTGGGGAGGCACAACATCTCTAGGTAGAATTCTTGTCTCTGATATAATACTGATACAGCATGTGTGAGAACCCTTTCAGATCTCCAGTGCAAGGAAATGCACTGCAGTTAGGCAAAACATCTGTGCAATTCAAGGTAGGATGTAGCTCTTTTCTTCCAGAAGAGGGTCAATTGCAGAGGTTCTTGTCTGCTTCCAAGGTCACAACATCTTCCCTTGGCTAAGGGGTGCTGATTTTTCTGGGGTGTGCACTGAGTCATTTCTCTGAGACAAGCTTTCCAGGAATCTCTGCTCTTGGTGGGTTGGATGTAATGCATCTAAGTAGGAGTTGTGGAGGCAGGAGCCAGCCACCTCCAGCTGCTGTGAATAAGATATAATTATTTTTAGTACTGTGCTGAGTTAGTCAAAGAACTTTAGAACTAAAAGCTCACTTTGATTTCATGGCTCCTCCTACAGTTTTACTAGTAACATGCTTCTGTTACATGATGGATCTTTTCATATTTAAAATATTTTGCCAAGTGTGTCTTTGCCACCTGTGGCATGATCTGTGGAGGATTAATACCTTGGGGATGGGAGATAAGGGGAAACCCATGTGATTTTTATCTGGGAACGACTTTCTGTCTGTCCCAGAAAAACCTGCCATAGCTCTTAATGACTGAAGAAGAGCTCTGTGTAAGCTCAAAAGTTTGTCTCTCTGACCAACACAAGTTGGTCCAAGAAAAGATATTACCTCACTTACCTTGTCTCTCTAATATCCTGGGACCAACACAGCTACAACACCACTGCAAATAGCTCTTAATAAACAGTCTGTAAAATGGAGATGGGTGAATGTTTTTCACTGAATGAAAGCAAAAGCCGGAGAATCTAATTAGAAGAATGCTTACGGTGCTGATTGGTGATTTATAAGGTAGCTGCTTCTTACAGGTTAGTGAAGAAAAATGTATCCCATTCAGGGAAAGATGTATTGCCTGAGAGTGCAAATGTGTAGTCTAACTAGCTAGCTGTAGGGATTTATCTGCTGCTCCTTTTCCTCTTCCCACAGGCCCTGTCTAGAGGAAGAAAACGGTTTGTGTTTAAAACATGGTGCCTAACCTGCTTCAACACACATTTTGAGCACTCATGTAGACATGATTTAATGTCTTTTAAAATGTTTGCTGGTCATGGTCCTCCAAAGGGAGGAACTTTGGTTTGACTATATTCAGCTAATGCGTTTCAAAGGCATTATATCCTGTCTGCTCTAGTATTTTAAAACATGTCAGCTTGTTTCCCTAGTGTAAACATGGCCCAGTTGGGGAGGTTGGTATTGGCGTGGAGAAGGGGTGCCTGAGAGCTAGGTGGTTTGAGGGTTTGTTGTGGCAGGGAGGCTGTGGATGCTCAGTATGTCTGTGCATAAGGGCGCTTGGGGTAGCTAGGTGAGCTATGGGGGGAGCCTGGAGCAGCTGGGTGCATGGGATGTGTGAGGAAAGAGTCTGGGGCCCATATTGGTTTCCTCACGCTTTCTGTGATCACGGTCAAACCTACATTCCTCCCTTTGGAGGATTGACCTGCCGTCACCTCTTCCTTTGGGTTTTGTGCTCCTGTCGCAGTTCCGTGGCTTGCGTTCAGAGGGGAGAGCAGTGAGCAGAGTGACAGAGAAATGCCTGCTGAGCAAGAAACCTTGCTGTCTCCCTGCAACTCTACCGCTTCCTCCAACTGTGCAGGACTCAGTTCCCAGAGTGGATTGTGAAAGCCCAGGACAGTCCCAGCCAAACCAGGACAGCTAGAAATTCTTCAGGGTAAAAATCAAATAGTCCTGAATGTACCAAGTTCCCTTCAACAGTACATAATCCTTCAGTCTCCTTTTTCCTATCTGCTTGAATGGCTGAGCAAGCACTTCTTTTTCTTCAGTCTCCCCTCTCAGCTTCCCAGTGGCTCATTTTCATAACCCTGTTTCACTGAGCCCCTCGTTAGCTCTTTCGCTGCTCACCTTAGTATGAAATATCACAGGTTGTTTGTCATCTGTCTTTGTCATTTCCCCAGAAAACCAAGTGGTATTGCTTCTCAGCAAGGTTAATGAAAGAAAAATCTGGAGTTTTTAGACCAAACCATTTTGGAGAGATGAGCCGAAAATGGTTGCACACATTTTCAAACGTGAACTTCCAGTAAAATTGAAAAATGTTAAAACTCCTGATTTTTCACCAAACTTCCCAGAAACATTCTACTCTGGAATAAGCTGCAGCATGTAAAATTTCAGGAAGATCAGCTTCTCTTGCAGAAGCTAGTGGGAATGTAAAAACTGAGCTTACAATGAGAAGTTTGCCTTCAAGCCCAACAATGGAACAGTCCCTGCTGCTCTGTAATAAATGGTTGAACACCCTGAAACAGGGAGGTCAGAGCAGATTCTTCAAGACATTAATTAATCTGGGAGTCTCAAGCATTCAGAAAGGACATCTTGTAGATAAATTATATCACATTAATATACTATTTGGCCCAAATTCATCCTAGTATAACTTCACTGACATCAAGGGATAGATTTGGTCTTTTATGTCCATTGACTCCTTTGGGTAAGGTTCCTTTGTACAATTCATATCTTGGGCAGGATCGACCCTGGAGACAAGAATGGCAGAAGGCACAATGTTGTTGAGGTTGAAAGGAATAGGGAAAGGGAGAGGTTACTGTGTTCGGGGAGTACAAAAAGGGCTAAGCTGTAAAATAGGAATTAAACTGGGCGCTCGGCAGGCTCCAGCAAGAAATGTATAATCCATCCCAATTAGGAACTCTCTCTCAAGAGAAACCCCGGGCCTGATGCAGATGCTGACAACAGGGAGAAACACTGCATTTCTAGTCTCTGTGCAGCTTTGGCTTTCTGTCTTTTGCTCAAGGCTGAGGGCTCTGTTTTCGGCACCACACCTAAAACATTCAGGTGAGAATTGCTTCCAGTTGCCATTCTGCCTTCCTGTCCCTCTGTGCTTGGACCTCCATTGTGATGAGTCCCTTACTGATAGCAGAGAGACATTTCCATTCTTCCCACTGTCAGTCCTGGGGACTCCGCTCCCCCTGCACTGTCAGTCACCTCTCCCACAACCTCAGCAGATATCCGATTCCTTGCCTGTCTCTCTTAATGGATAGCTGCCAACTATGCCAGTTCTGATCAAGTAGTTTTTCCATCTGGTGGACTGCACTCCAGGCTAACCAGGCACAGGGTCCTGGGGCTGTGCTGTTATGTACTTAGGGAGTGCCAGAAGTTTCAGAACTGAGGTGGAGGGCTGAGGAGGAGCTGTTAAAGGGCTGTGTTCACAGGCCCATCCTCCCCTTTACACTGAGGGCCCATCTTCCCTCCACAGTCAGAATGTTGTTTCCTCCTACTGTTGTCATCTTGTCTTGAGAGTCCTGTCCTCTTGGCCACTGGCTCATGGTTCTTGACCCAGAACAACAAGAGGGTGGGGGGAAGCTGCTCCGTCGCAGTTAAGGTTTCCCGGTCCTTTCCAATAAATGCTCTTCAGGGGGTCATCGAGTCCTGATTCCCAGCCAGGCTGCCCTGAAAGCCCAAGGGTGTAGCTCCGTCCAAGGTGTATTCCCCTGGCAGGATGGCCCCTGGCTAAGTGCTGGCAACCTAGTCCTGGCTCTGCTGGAGTTGCTGCAATGTAACGTTCACAGACACTGGCTCTTCTCATTCTGACTTGGAGTTGTTTTTTTTCCCCCTTGGGGGAGTTTCTCTTGTTCTGTCACAGCCTCACATAACTCCTCCCCTGGAGCGATTTGTCAGTGAAGCCTGGATTTGCTCTTTTCCCTGGTCTCTGAGATAAAATCCAAATCTGACAATGTTTATAGGGGAAATGTGACAGACCTTGCGTGTCAGGCTGGGGTCGGGGATGGGGTCAATTTGATGAGGTTCCCTCCAGCCAGACATGCATCAACTGGAGAAATGTGGAGCCTGTAATCTCTCTGCATGAGTACTGGAAAAATACCCAATGCCTGTCCCAGCCAGCAAGGGGCACTGAAGGAGTGGGCAGAGGAGAATATGCAGAGGAGAGATCAACTTCTGTGTCTCAGACAACCAGGGGAATTGCAAGAGCAAAGGGGAAGGAGAATATGCAAGAAGGAGTGAATCTCTGTCCCACCTCATTGAGGGCACCAGAGGAATTGAGTGGAAGGAGACATGGGGAAAGACCAATATTTGCCCAGTTCATGGAGTTTACTGTGGAGAACAGAATGGAAGAAGGAATGACCAACCTCCATCCTGGCAAGAGGGAGAGCTTCAGGAAACAGGACAGAGGTTTGGGGTTTTGATGTTGGAGTCAGGCTCAACAAGGGTACGCTCAAGATTGAGATGTCTGGAACAGGGTCTGTTTGGGGATGTCATAGCTCCAAAGGATATGGCAGTGACAGGTTGGGCTCAAGATGTCAGTGCCAGGGTCAGAGCAAGGGGTGGCCATGAAGGGTCAGCGTGGCGGTGTTGGAACTATGGTGGTGATGTGGGGCTGAGCCGATGCATGTAGTCTCAAGGGTGTAGGCCTGAGTCATATCAAGAACAATAATGTGGGTCTGGGATAACAAGAGTAGGGTCAACATGGGGAAGTTGGAGCTACAGGCAGTGGTACCAGGATCGAGGGAGCAAAGCATGGAGGATAGGATGCTGGGGACCTGGAGCTGGAAAGTGTACACCGGTAGGGGCTGAGGACACTCTGGTGAGAGTCAGTGTAGCTTTGTTGGAGAGGTGGATTGAAATCATTGTCGTAGTATACAAGGTCCCTGAATAAAGCTGGACAGATACCTAAAAATATTTTCCGCAAATATTTGTGTGAATTAAAACATTGGTTATCTCTGGCCACATCTGCAGCCCTACTGTATTTTTCTTTCCCCAAAGATTTCAGTGATCCAGTCGTGCAAACACTTGCAGAAAGCAAATTGTAAATTCATGTGTGAATTATTTGCCCCAGCAACCTGAATATAGAAGTTACGTTCATCCATTCAGAGAGCAGAAACAAAACCACATGACTCGTCACCAATCACAACTAACTCAAACATCCTGAATTTTGTGTTGCATACTCAGCAAAGACTGTTCACAATCAAGTCATGCAGCAAAAGAACTCAACAACTATTGCCAAATTCAAGAAAATTTCAATCTCCACATAGACATTCTGCAAACAGAAAAAATGGCTAAATTAAATGAGCAAATTACTTGCCATAAATAATTCACCCAGCTCTTCATGTGAAAGACGTATTTTATTGTGTGTGCTTCAGTTGTTTGGTCTTTTAAGTCTAAGCGAAGCATCACTGACTCCTCTTTTTTGTATTTAATCAGTTTCATGTGGACTTGGTGCAATGTTACTAGGACTTGTTTTAGTGGGGGTGGGGGGGTTTCAACCTAAGCATTTTGTAGCTGGGAGTAATGGGGCTCAGGGGCCCTTTGGAGGGCATCACGCTCAAAGCCAGCTGATGGGGATGTCAGAACATGGGGTCTGGAGGAGATAGCCTTGAGGTGTTGGGATGGTGGGTTTCATTGCTGATGTTCACGTGAAGATACTCAGGCTGAGGTCAGTGTGACTATGCTGGGCTTGAGGAAAATATATGGGTTGTTGGGACAGAAGGAGTGTGGACTGAAACAAGGTTGGCCATGGGTCGGCATGGGGATCTTGGGGCTGGGTACCCGTGGAATTCAGGGGACTGTGGCCAGCATCATGGGTGGGACTCAGATCTGTGTGGAGGTACTTGGGGTGGAGAACTGTGTCTGGCAATAAGCATGGAGTTGAGTGGGGTAAAAAGCTGGAGATGAAAGCGTGGTGCTATGACTCACAGAAGAGCCCTAAACTCAGAGGAATAAATAAGCCCTTTCATCCATTGTGATCTGCCCACCCACTGAAACCCTCAGGATGTTTCTCTTGGGCAAGGATTGAGTCACGGCTACTGCTGACGACCCTGTCACCCGAGTCTGCCTCGTGGTGTCGTTTTTACTATTTACCGAGATAGGAGACACTGCTAAGCAGAAGTGACAGGAGCTTGCAGGAGAGACGGGGCAGAGCACGTGGCTGAAGAGGAAGCTGCCGGACATCAGGCAGTTATATACGCTTCAGTATCTAGCTGCCTCCCAACATCTCCCATAGCATTGCCCACAATTCCCACTCACCTTTGTGCCGCTGAGGCTGTCCCAACATACCTCTGGCATGCTGCCTGTGCCCTGCACCCCCGTGCTGCACCTCCTGCACCTACCTAACACCCATCTTTCTGGAGTCTAAAGCCACAGCCCGGAAGAAGCACTTCACATCCTATCCCTTGGCATGCACGCCTGCCGCTGTCCACCTGGGGCCCAGCACAGAGTTCAAGCATTGGTTGGCTCTATGGTCTGGCAGGAAACTGGGCTGGTATCAGGACAGTGCCTGAGCTTGGTGTGTATCTGTCTGGGGGGGGGGTCCAGGCAGGCACCCCTTTGCCCCCCCATCAGACTGCACTCGTTTATTATACCATCTGTTTTCTCAGTGCTGGAGATGATGCTGGGGATATGTGACTTGGGGCACTCAGGCGGAAACTGGCCTGCACAAGGCCGGCCATGTGTTTGCCTCCTAGCAATGCAACGGTCAGCAGCAAATTCTTTGCCGCTGCCTCCTCTCAGTAGGGGAGAGAGAGAGCATGGGCCTGGGTGTGTAGGAGACACAGAGAGATGGACTGTGTGGAGGTGGGAGAGAGAGACAGAGATGGGCCAGTGTGTGAGGGTGAGAGAGATGAACCGTGTGAAGGAGGGACAGACAGATGGGCAGTGTGTGGGAGCGAGGAAGAGAAATTAACTGATGGAGGGAGAGACAGACAGATGCACTGTGTGTGGGAAAGAGAGAAGGACTGGCTGGAGGAGGGAGAGAGAGAGAGCTGTAAAGGAGAGAGAGAGGCAAATTTGGCAGTTGTGAGCAGGGAGAGAGATGGACTGCATGAAGGAGAGAATGTGGGGAGAGAGACTTCAGCAATGAGTGCGTTAGAAAGGCCATAGATGACTGGATGGATGGAGATGGATACACAGTGTGACAAAGATATTGTGTGAGTGGAAGGGAGAGGGGCTGTGAGAAGGAGCAAGTGAGCGAGGAGAGAGAGGTGGCAAGAGAGGAGGAGACATCCATCTGAATGGCAGATGATATCTTCAACAGGCTCTGTGGGCGAAAGTGGGGGTGGGGGGATGTGTGGTGGGGAGGGGTTACTGGTCCTAGGCGTATATAAGAACAAGAGAGACTAATAGTGTGTGAGCTCTTCCATGTGTGGGGGTTTGAGGTTCCCTTACCACACACTGGGAGAGGAGACTGCAGGGCAGAGTTCGGAGACTGGCAATGTCCCCCTGGTACTAGCAAGGAGCACTCATGCTAGGTTAGGGTGAACTGACAAGACAGAGAAAGGTATTCCCAGTCCTGAGGATGCAGAGAAAGTAAACATTCCCTGGGCATTAGCACAGAACCCTTTCCCTTTATTAGGGTTCAGGATGCCCTAGAGCATTACATTGCAAGCTGTTGACTAGTTGTTTCTGGTGGGTTGTTTGAATGAGTTTAAAATGACAGAACAGGTTTGGTTGTGTTGTTTTTTTCTCACCCTGTTCTTCCAGTGTGGGTTCTCAGGCGGGACATGCACCCTCTCTTCTCCCAACCCCGTCTGAGCCCATGGCCACCATCTTCATTTTCTTTTTTTCCTGGTCTTTTAGCCACCATCTTTCCCCTCTTTCTCCATCTGACTCCAACTGTCCCGTTGTTCTTTTGGCTACATCACCTCTTTTCTGTTCTTTTTTCCTCTCTTTTTTCAGTCTCTTTCTTTCTCTACGACTTTCTTATCTTCTAGATTTCTCTCAGCCTCTCATCTTCCCTGTCCCTTCTTCTCCTCTGTGTTCCAGACTCTCTCTCTCCCAGATTATAGGTCTTTCTCTTTTTGCTTCAGCTTACTTCTTCTGGTTACACTGTTTCAAGTCTTGTTTTCTCTCCTTAGCCCCTTTATCCCTTTCTGTCCCTGGCTGTCTGCCTCCTTTCTCTCACTCTCTGGCTGTCTCTCTTGAACTAGGTTGTGAATTCTATCAGCATCAGAGCAGGGCAAACTGTAAAACTGAAGTTCCCGGAGGGCCAGGTTGTGATCATTTTATTTTAGCAATGTCCTTGGATGTATAAAGGTGTTTGGGGGGAGGGGCAGCATGTGTGCTGGGTGGGGGAAGAGAGGGGAGTTCAGGCCAGAGCAAATGGAGCTTTAGACTAATATAGGTCAGTTGCAGACAAGAGTCCCAGTGGTCTGTGTAAAAGAGGAGTGGCTTGTAACTTTGGGCTAGATACTGGAAAGATGGCAACTGAAGAGTTTTACCCAAATGGTGGATGGATCAGACACACAAGTGCACATGAGCAGGCAAGAGCCATATCATCCAAGAATGCAACTAATAGTGAGCAGGATGAGACTCTGACCCTGCGCAATTGGCTACTCCTCTCCCAGGTATCTCCCCAGCTCAGAGAGTTTATGGGAATTTCCTGAAATTCCAGGCAGCTGGTTCTAATCCTGCTTCTTCTGTTCAGCTCCTTGTCCTGTGCTCTGAGTATGGAGGTCAGAGGCATTGCTGGCAGACCCCTCCCTAATGTCCTCAGCCGTGCTGCCTGATGGTTGTCTCAAAAGAAATGGCAGCAAATAATCCACAAGCAGAGTAAACTAGTTAATGACACTCAGAGGAGAAAGACAGCCCCTCCCCCCATATTTGATATTGCAATGAAATGGCTAGGATGTGTGTTCAAGCTGCCTTTTGCTAGCTGGAATCAGAACTGTCCAACTGTGTGTCAAAGACCAAAACAGCTAGTGGAGATTCTCCTTTAGGTCAAGTGGCAAGAGCCTGGAATTTTGGAGCAGAAGGACCAAATTCTGTCCCTGGTGATACCATGAAATCCTGAGCTGCCATGGTGTGTAGCATAGTGACAACTGTGAAGTGACCTAGCTGGCCACAGATTTGCCACAATATGTATGAACAGATGCCTCTCTCCCTCCAGACAGCTCCCAGATACTACACAGGGCCACATTAACACACATCATCATAGTGTACAGTAGATGATAGATAATAATGGCCCTTGATTATACACCCAAATCATAGCCTCTGAAATCCTAGCTTAATTTCTACTAAGATTTTTTAAAAATAGGATCTTAAAGTTAAGCTTATAAATCAATATTTAGGCACCTAAATAAGTAGCCAGATTTCCAGAGGTGCTGAGTTTCTGTAGTTTTCTGTAAAGACAGTTGGAGCCGCTGTCTGCTCAGTGCATTTGAAAATCAGTCCACTTATTAGGTGCCTAAATATGAAGTTAAGAGATTAAGCAGGTTTTTTTAAAAAAAATATCTTGGTCTTCATTCCTGAAGAACAGAATAGTCCTAGCCTATCTATGACTTCTGTCTATGACAGGTTCTTATACTATGCCCATCACCATGGTGTCTGAGTGCCTCTGTGGTGTCTGACATGCTTAGTCTGACATGTTTAGCAAAGTTCTTCTATATGGGTTCACTTTGTGGTTCCTAAAATTTGTAATACAGGATTGTGTCATATGAAATATTTTCAGGGTTGCCTACAGCAGCTGTGTATCTACAGATGGCAAAACTCCCATTGATTTCAAAGGAGCCAGGGCTTCACCCATTATGATTTGAGCTTCTATATGTTTGACCCCTCTGAGCTCCTGTACTCACAAAGTTCCTAAATAGTTTTTAGGTCGTATATTTCTCTAGATTTGTTCCTCTGCAATGTCAGACGTGCGCTTACTAATAAATTCCAAAGGGTCAGCTGCTTTCCCCTTTGGATCTTGCACTGTGACAGAACTTTTGATTTGTGCATAACATTTCTTAGAAAATTTCCTGTCTTCATCATTAGCTCTGACTCGCACAGCTGGATGTTAGAGAAGTGAGAGGATCTGTATGTCATTGATGATCCCCTAAACTAGCCAGTCTTTTGTGGCAAGAGGGCTGAGGATGGCCTAAAGGGGAGAGAGGAACATGTGGGTGGCCTGTGGCAGAGAGGCCTGCATCATTTCCAGTGGCTGCACTGGGAAAGTAAATCTGTTCCTTATGAGATTCAGCTGATGACGTTTCTATGATGCTTCTGTAGAGGATCAAATGGAGAGTGCTTGTGTTAACAGTGGACTGTGGCTTTGGCAGATGAAAGTGAAAAGGGTGAGGCCGCACAGGGGCTTTTTCTGCACTACTATAATATAATCATAGAAGTGTA